AACCTACTCAGTCGCCCACCCACGCCCCTCCCCTCTCTTTCTTCCATCTCGACCCCCAAATCTTCATTTGAAAACCCCGCCTCTTGCGATCACCGACGCCCGGCCCCTCAAAAAGCTCACTCCTCCAACCGCCGACGCCCGCAGTTGCGGACAACCTCCTGGAAACAGAGGACCTCGTTTCCCTGGACAACGGCTGCGTCTGCTGCTCCCTTAGAAAGGACGTCGTGAAGGCTCTGGCAGAGATCGAGCGGCGCAGCAGGCAGCGAGAGAAGCGGGTCGACCAGGTGCGAGGCGCGGGGCTGCGCCTTGGCGCGGGGCGGGGCGGGGCGGCGCCGGCATGCGTCGCCGCCCCCGCCGGCTGCAATGCGGGGGGTGCATGTGCGGGCGGCTGGATCTCTCGAGTGGGGCGGCGCGGGGCGGGGCGGCGTTTGGGCGGGGCGTTGGTGCTCCTGCGCCTTGCACATGTTGTGGAGGCGGTACCGCAGGGGGACCCTCCGACCCTACCCTCCCATGCGGGCGCTCAAGCCGCCTCTCCCCCCCCCAAAGGCTGCCCACTTCCCACGCGTCTGTGCCCCGGCCCGTCCTCGCGGGCTCGAACGCCCCTCACTCCCACTGACGCCCCGCAGCGTGGCGGCCGAAACTCCCGCGGCCCGCGCACGCACCAGCCACTGCACCCACCCGCGTCGACCGCCGCATGACGTCACCAACCCCGCTCACCAACCCCGCTCCCCAAGACCCGCCGACCCCACCCACAGTCACGTTTTTCCGCTCGGCCCAGCCGGCCATACCCGCCCAAACCCTCGCCCCCCCCTCGCTTCAATCCCTGAACCCCCTACACACGATCCACCCACGCCCTCACACTCTCATTCACACACACACACACACACACACACAAACGCAGGTGATCCTTGAGACCACCGGCCTCGCCGACCCCGCCCCCGTGGCGTTCACCTTCTTCGCAAACCCCTGGATCGCCAGCCGCTACAGGATCGATTCAATTGTCTGCGTCTGCGACACGCAGTACGCCCTGCAGGTGGGCTTCAGACGCGCGCGCACGCCCTCCCGGCCCGGGGCCGCGTCCGGCCTCAGCAGGCGGCGCCGACGGGCGGCCGGCAGCGGCGCCCGAAGCCCCGCGCGCCTCGCGACGCCGGGCCGGGGGCGCCGCGTCGTGCGCTGCGCCGCGCCTGCACATCGGTAAGCGCTGGCCCTCTCCCGCACCTCCCTACCCTCTCGGCCCGACCCCGATGCCCCGCCCTCACAAGCGGCCTGGCCTCTCTCCAAACCCCCCGCGCCCCGCCCCGCAGCACCTCGACCCCGCCTCCGCCCGCGACGCGCCCGGCATCGCCAACGAGGCAGCGCAGCAGCTGGCGTTCGCCGACGTCATCCTGCTCAACAAGATCGACCTGGTCAACGAGGCGCAGCTGGAGCGCGTGCGGCGCATCGTGCGGGACATCAACCAGAGCGCGCGGCAGATCGAGTGCCGACTCAACCAGGTGCGTTGAGCCTCGTTTATCCCAGAGACTTGGGTTTCGGGCCGTGGAATCGCTTGGTGTAATCGTGTTTGCCGCCCTCGACAGCCCCACCCGCGCGGTGCCCTCGCTGCTTCCGTCGGTCAAGCGAGGCGTCCCCCTCGGAAGAGCGCCTGCAGGGTCTCAAACCCGGCCGCAGCGCGCGCCTCGGCTCGCGCCGCGCGCTGCTGCCCCGCCCCGCACACCCGCCTCGCACATAACGGTGACGTAACAACCCGCGCCGTCGTGCGGCCGCAGGAGGGCGGGCGGCCGCAGCTGTCTGATCTCCTCGATACCAACGCCTTCAGTGTGCACAAAGCCCTCAAGGTGGGCACAACGAGGTTACCTCTCCTGCGCTTGTGCAAAGTCCGAGGTTGCGCGGGCGATGTGATCTGGAAGGCCCCTGTCACCGCCGCAGGGCTCGCGGCTGGCCGCGCTGCGGGTCGAGCCGCCCGACTCTTCGCGTGTCGAAAGGGCGCCACTTTTTGGCACGAATACTGCGGTCCTTGGGCATGCCGATGACGACAATGAACATCCCTCATGCCGCCTGTTGATCGGCACCCACGCAGGTCGACCCTTACTTCCTCGAAATCGACAACGGCGCCGAAGACCCCCCTGCCGACGGCGGCGCGGGCGGCGGCGGCTGCGAGCAGGCGGATCCAAGCCGCAAGGAGGGCGGGGCCGGGGCCGAGGCGGGGGCCGAGGGCGGCGCGCAGTCAACTCTGGCGGAGGCTGAGCGGCGCGGCGCGATGGCGGCGGCCGTGGCGGCGCAGCAGCAGCAGCACAAGCAGGACCAGCAGCGGCGGAAGCTGCGGCAGCAGCAGCAGCGCGCGGCGTCGCAAGAAGAGCAGGAGTGTTCCTCCGCCGCGACGTTCACGCAGCTGCCCTCGGCGCACGCCGCGGCCATCGCCGGCGCCGACGACGGCGCGCCCGCGGAAGTGGCGACGCCGGCGGCGGCGGCGGGCCACGAGCAGCAGCAGCAGCAGCGGTGCAAGCGGGCTGCGCAGGGGGACGCATCGGCCGCGGGGGATGCCGCGGCGCCCACAGGGCAAGAGGTGGATCGGGCGTCGAAGAGGCGGCGCAAGCACCTGCACGACCTGGCTGACATTGGGAGCGTCGGCATCGTGGCGCATGGGGCGCTGGACGAGTACCGCTTCAACATGTTCATGTGGGTGGGATCTGTGATCTGAGGCCCCTCGGGTGACCTGGGCGGCCAGTGGCGATCTGGGCGGGCCGGGAACGATCTGCGGAGGTCGGGGCCCCAGGGAATGCGCAGGAGTTCGTTTGCCTGCTGACCGTGTGAGTGGCCGCGTGAGGTGGGTGAAGTGCTCGCGACAGACACCGGATGGGCGGCTGCCGGCCCACCGCCCGCTGGTGGCCTCTTCGCTTGCTGTGCGCGGGCACCCTTCTGACCCCGTCCTGCGCCCGGCTGCCCTGCGGCTGCGTCATGCTACTCACCCAGGCGGGACCTGCTGACCGAGAAGGGCAAGGACATTTACCGCTGCAAGGGGGTCCTCGCGGTGCACGTGAGTACCCAGGAAACACCCCTCGCCGCCCCTCAGCAACGCCGACCCACCCACAGGCCCCGACCGCCGGGCTGCGCCGCGCCTTTGCCTGCGTCCTGCCGGGGGCCCCCCTACCGGCGCCGCTGCTCTAGCGACTGGCAATTGGCGGGCCGAACGGCCGCAGCTATGACGTCTGAGCCTTCACGCCTTCAACCCCCACTCCCCAAAACTTACAATCCTGGCCTTCGATCAACAACCTACCCCCCCCCCCCAGGGCTATGGCACCCAGAGGTTCGTGTTCCAGGGAGTCCACGAGACGATCTGCTACGGCCCAGGGGAGCGGCCCTGGGCGGAGGATGAGCCCCGGGTCAACCACATCGTCTTCATCGGGCGCGGCCTGGACCGCAAGGCGCTCATGATGGGGTTCAGGTGCGCGGAGATCTGAGATCACGGGATACCGAGACCCGAGGCCTTGGGGCGTGATGCGCGGCACAGGGTTGCACGCGCGGCTGGCGCGCCGCGGGTCGACATGTCGCAAACGCAGCACGCCGGCCCCATCATTGGCGAACCCAGAAATTCAGCAACCGGTTCTGCAGTCCCCCCTTGCACAACCACGTCGATGCGTTTGGATTCTCTCTTTCCTGCTTCTCTTTCCTGCTTCGATCCAAGTCCGACCAGCGGCTCAATCCCTAATCGCCGGATCCTCTCGACCACCCCAATGCACTAACAACCACAGGACCTGCGTCTGGAAGCCGCTGCCCGATGGCTGGCGCGAGGCGTTCGACCCTGTCACCAGCCAGCCCTATTACTACAACCCCTCAACCCACGAGAAGACCTGGGCGCGCCCCCAGCGCCCGACGGGCGCCCGCGCGGGCAGGCAGGCGCCCGCCGCGGCGGACGAGCAGCCGGTGTCGGCCACGCCCGTCGTGCCCGCG